ATGCTCTTGTGAGTGGAGCAGCAGACGGGATCTACCTGAGAAGGTGCTTGGAGTTTCTCGTGGAGGAGAAGGTGGTACACCATTGCCTGGTAGACAACTCCGCAGCACTACACCTGTGCCATAGGAAGGGCCCAGGCAAACTTCGGCACATTGCTGGAAAATTGTTATGGATTCAGGACATGGTTGCACAGGGAGATCTTGAGGTCAAGGCCGTAGGGACAGTTGCCAATGTCGCTGACCTAGGCACCAAACCGCTAGCCAAAGCCAGGGTGAATCTCATCCTGCATTGGTGCCAGATTTACAATGGTGAAGGAGAGAGGATTGGACAAGAAGAGCAACAACGACTTGAAGAGAGCAGTGTGAGCCGCAGCAAGATCCAGAGGCTTGCAAAACTGCTCAACAGAATCTTGCTGTTGGAAGGCCTTGAGCATGTGGCTGGTGAGCGAGTGGGCATGGAGGAGAATGTCACCGTTACCAACCACAGTCAGTGGCTATGGGCATTCATTGTGATCCTGATGGTGGTGATTGCCGTACTGATCTTCGGCATTTACCAGCTCTGGAAGAAGCTTGAGAGAATGGAGACAAGGCTTCAACAAGTGGTTGATGATGTGAAGGTTGACGGCATGATGGTGGGAGCCTATGGCCATGAGACGAAGGAAGCAATAGCGCAAGTGAAGAAGTATGTGGAGAAGGTGCATCGAGGCTTGATCAAAGCTTCAGGTTATGTTGATGATGATGAAGTCTTGATGGAAGACTGGAGGCATTGGGACTACCTCCAGGACACCAACAAGGAGTTCGACATGAGAAGGCTTGACAAGCAGATCAAGGATTACCTTCAGAGAAATGTGGAACAGACACGTCGACACCTGAACATTCGAGACAATACCTTGAGAGACAACACCGGTGGAAGTGAAGAGAGTGGAGAAGGAGAACATGATCCAGATGATATGGTGCAAGTCAGATTAGAATCTGGACAAGTGGTGACAGTGAGAGCAGGTGACCTTGAACCTCGCGAACCAGAAAGTGAGAATGAGGAAACGGTGCCTATGGAGACAGAGCCAGAAAGGGTACCAGATCGAACAGGGGAAGCGCGTGGCAGTGGCAGCAGAGACCTGGAGTTTGAGGATTTGACTATGTCAGCACCAACAACAAGGTGGCTCACAGATGCAGAACTGCATGAAGTGAGTGAGTATGACAAGCCAGCCTTCAGGTCTTGCTTGAGAGCCAAGCAGTATTCCCTACAGTTCGAGAAGCGATGGTTCGAGCTCAACCAAAGGAACGAACACGAGTCCAAAATGGAAATGTACTCACGAATGGGAAGGCATATGGAGTTCATGGATAGCGATTCGGTTCCCTTTTGAAGTTTAAGATGACTCAGAGAGCACGAAATCTAAGCTCTCAGAGCCAAGGAGGAGTGTGCAAAAGAAGCGACTCAACTCCAACATAACATGTACAGAACTTTGCACTTGAGGCCTTCGTGGTTCAAAACAGCTCGCACTTAGCCTTAGCCTTGCCTAGCCTTAGCCATAGCCTTAGCCTTAGACTTAGACTCAGACCTTACTCTTTTACCTTTCCGGACCCGGGGTTTGTTGTAAAAGGGAGTTGTAGGATTTCCCAGGTATGCGTAGAAAATTGCGAACCTATTTTCTTCCATTGTTGTAGAATTTTCTAGGACTTCCTCTTGTGCTTAGGTTCCCAGATTTCCCCAAAAATTGATTAATCTATTGTTAACCTAGTTGATTCTAGTGTTCCCGGCAAATGCCCTGGAATTTTCCTGGGAATGCTCTAGGCTTTGCTTAGATTTTGCGGTGGACGAGTTCCGGCCAGTGCCCGTGGTAACGTGAAAGGCTCTGGTAAGATTTTCGCATGCCTGTCAGGCGCCCGTGTCCGCGCCATGTGGCGTGTTGATTCTAGGACGGAGCAGCGCAAAAGGAAGCTTGGGCAGGTGGTGGCGAGGTTCTCGCGCCAGCGAGGGAAGAGACCGTAGCCATGTACATGCGGGTGGCACGCGCGCGCGTGGCGGAATGTCTGCAGTGCGGTAGGCCGGGGGGGGGGGGGGAAGGGTGTGGAAGCGGGTGGTTCCACGGTGGGAGGAAGGACGTTGCCCTGGATGTGGGGAGGGTAGGGTTTCCTGGAGCACCCCTGGAGCAAAATGCAGGATCACCCAAGTCGTCGGGTGAGAGGCAGCCGGTGTCTGTGTTATGCGTTTTCTGGGGGAGAAGAGCGACGTCAGCTCTTGCATGAACCCCGTGACGCGTTGGGTTCTGCGGCCTGTGGGGCCGCAGGGCGCTGCCCGTGGTCTAGGGTACATTCAAATGCCACACGTATCGGCGCCTGGACTTGTGCTGAATCGATCGGTTTCTCCCGGTGACCCAACCCATCACCACCAAAGCAGGTACCCAAAAAGTTGACTTTTTGGGTACCTCCCAGGTTTACCATCGGACGTCATCTCTTGC